AAATAGAATAATGATCCTTGGTTTAGTCTCTTAATTTCTTGTGGCAAGATTTATTGCAATCAGATAAAAACTGTAGGAGGATTAGCCTTATGAAAGAATTTCAACAATTTCTATTTTTAGTAACCATGACAATACCGCTCACCAAAATCAAAAACCGATATATAGAGAATTATGTACCTCAGTGTCGTCTACACGTGTGTGCAGTTATATTGAAAACAAACCAAACTGTAGGAGAAGTAGCATTTTGAATGTATTTTACAAAAATTTCTACTTTTAATAGCCATGACAACACATTATTCGTAATCAAAAACTGATATACAGAAGTATTTATCTGAGTTTGAAATCTCCTTGTGTGCCAAGATATTTCAAAATCATGCTAAAACTGTAGGATAAGTAGCGTTTTGAAAGTATTTCAGAGAAAATTCTATTTTTAGTAAACATGGCAACACCGTTCATCAGAATCAAAAACCAATGCAGAGAATTGTGTATCTTTGTGTAGTCTACTTGTGTACCAAGTTATATTGAAATCAGACTAAAAACTATAGGAGGAGTAGCGTTTTGGCACACTTTCCACTCTACTGCAATAAACAGTGTGTGTGAAGGGGGGGGGGGGCGTTTGAAGCAAAAACCCTTTTTTTAATAACAGTGGAAAAATAATTTTTTGGTAAAATAACCGCGTTTTCAAAATTTTTGGTAATGCAATGCAGCCATATATTTCGTATACTATTTCTGTGGAATATTCTTTTAGAGGGAATACATAAGAATGAAAGAAAGAGATCAATAAATGTAGAAAAAGAAAATATACCTAAAATGTTAGATTTTAAAATTTTATCTGACATAATTCTTTATTTGATTCGAAAATAACTTTACAGGTTAGTAAATGCATTTAAATCTATATTTAATAGACAAATTTTACGTTACGTTTGTTTATTAAACAGGATGTGTTTGTGAAAACTGATGCCCCCGTATGGCAACTTATAGCGAAGATTAAACTTTCTCAAATGCAAATCAAATATGTTGGTACCCAAAGTAAGGTCTTGTCTACCTGTGAACTATGAAAGCCCTAGCAACAATCATTGAAAAGATATGGAAAAAGTTAAAGTTTTTCAAAAGTAAGTCAAACATCAAAGTCAAGGTCAAATAGACAAAATTAATGGTACCCAAAGAAATGCATTCTCACAAGAAATATACAAGTGAAATATGAAAGCCTTAGCATCAACCGTTCAAAAGTTATGGCCAAGGTTAAAGTTTTTCAAAAGTAGGTCAAACTCCATGGTCAAAGGGTCAAAGTTGTTGGTATCCAAAGTAAAATCTTGTCACAAGGATTACATATGTGAAGTATGAAAGCCCTAGCACACCTGTTCAAACATTTATGGCCAAGGTTAAAGTTTTCCAAAAGGAGGTCAAACTCCAAGGTCAAAGGGTCAATGTTGTTGTATCCAAAGGAAGGTCTTGTCACAAGGATTACATATGTGAAGTATGAAAGCCCTAGCACAAATCATTCGAAAGTTATGGACAAGGTTAAAGTTTTTCAAAAGTAGGTCAAACTCCTTAGTCAAGGCCAAAGGGTCAAAGTTGTTAGTATCCAAAGGAAGGGTTTTATCTCAAGGATTACACAAGAGAAATATGAAAGCCCTGGCACGAACTGTTCAAAAGTTAGGGCCAAGGTTAAAGTTGGGTAAAAGTTTGCAAAACTAGGTCAATTCCAAGGTCAAGATCAAAAGGTCAAATAAGATATTACCCAAAGAAAGGGTAATATTTCATAAGAAATATACATGTGAAATATGAAACCCATAGCTCTAACCAATCAAAAGTTATGGACAAGGTTAAAGTTTTTGTCAAACAGACAGACGGACGGACAGAGCAAAAAGTATATGCCTCCGAATATTCGATTACGGGGGCATAAAAAGAATTTACCTATGACAATGGTCCAAAATATCCTCAGTCAACACATTGATTAAAAGTAAATTTAAAAATATTTATATTACACAATCCTTTGTTTGAATAAGTTTGTCACCTATTTCCTACATAAAATTTTACCCGATTTAAAAAAAAGCCGGAATAAGAGGAATAAACCCGTTAACAATAACTAATGGGCTACTCGTGTTAGCATTGGCCCCCTTATTTCACGCAGTTGTCTACATTTTGGCCTTTAGACTGTACATTCACAAATAGTACTTTATGTACTGTTATAATGATTTTAATTACATTAAAGTCATCAACCATAAGAGTGAATAAACAAATTGCCCCCAAAAATGTTCTAGGATAGGAAAGCCCAGTTTTTTCATAGGTGAGCAATGCCTTACAGTAGCGGATAAAAAACGAAGGCTCTTTATGGGAAATGGAGGGGCTTTCTTTGTATAATTAATAGAAGTCGCAACCTTGGAAAATATTGAATAAAAAGATTCTCAAAAGAGTACAACAAGAGGAAACAGAGGAGAAATCTTACTTCTATTTACAAACTATCTTGTTCGCCACTCTGACATCCGTACTTCTTTCTTTCTTTCTTTTTTTAAACGCTCTCTTGACATTTTTTTTTTTTATAGATATTTTGTGCTTTTGTTTGCCGCGATAGAATCTGACTATAAGCTCAGCCGACTTGACTTCGTTTCATGTAACCTTGTAATGCACATGTTTGTTAGAAAACTTGACATATTTCTTTCGGAAGCGCAGCTAAGTATTACCTGAATATGATATATATAAGGCGCATTTGTCATAGAAACTGTATACGAAGGGTTTTGAAAATCAACACTCTAGGCTTCATATTAAAGTAAATCTTTGTGGAAGATTTTTAGCATGTTACTCTATGTATCTGACCGATATATTCCAACAAACACAAATGTGTTTCGATAAACATTCCTAAGTGTAAATTTCTCTTTTAGAAAATACACAAATATCACATTTTTAAAGAATTATTAAAGAATGGAAATGATCGATGGAAGAACGACCTTTTTAAAAAAAAAAATTGAATACTTCTTACAATGCCAAGAGACATGATAAGCACTATACCACTACATCACCGTGATTTACGTGATCCCTATGTACCTATACACATGTATTAAGGATCAAGTAAAATCAGGCATGGTTTGTTACCGGCTCCTTTGTGCCACACTGGTGCACGATTAAAACCGGGTTATGGGGAACGGAATGTTAGGTTTATATTATGTCTCCATGTAACTTTTTTAAAGTACTATGTAACATTTCTTAGTATTAAAGAGAGGCCCATTCGCTTTGTTCCGAAGGCACCGCATCTTGTTATCAGAAAAATAAACTTTATGTGAATGTGATTATGTACAAACTACGAAAAGATCATTTAGAGAGACAAATTTATGCATATTTTAAAAATCTCAGATGGTAAGAAATTAAAGTAGACTGCAAGGAGACACAAAACACCGAGTAATGTCTCTCAGTTTTCGTAATCTCAGATTTTGATTTATATCATGAAAATTCCCACTTTTTCTGTGATGGAAAAAAAAAACGTGGAGCACGGACATTATATAAAAAAATTAACTTAGAGACCCCCCCCAAAAAAAAAATCAGTTTTATATGTTAATAAGTAAGTAAGTAATTTATAGTTAATAGTGACATATACATGTTTGGTCATGATGCACGGTTACAATGACCCATCTTAAGGTTAATCTTAGTGTTTCATTTCCTAGCTCATCTCAAAAGGTATCAATACCAACCTAGCTCATCTCAAAAGGTATCAATACCAACCTAGCTCATCTTAAAAGGTATCCATACCAAGTTAGCTCATCTCAAAAGGTATCCATACCAACTTATCTCATCCCAAAAGGTATCAATACCAACCTAGCTCATCTCAAAAGGTATCCATACCAACTTAGCTCATCTCAAAAGGTATCCAAACCAACCTAGCTCATCCTATAAGGTATCCATACCAACCTAGAAGGTATCATGAATCCGTGGTTACTCAGTAAAATGCACGCTTTAAATCCAATCCCACATACATGCTTTGTCGACGCCCTTTACGCGGATACAGTCGAGCCTCGTGATTCCGGACGATTGTGAAGATAAACTTCCGGATTTATGGAGTGTCCGGATTACTGAGACGTACTTTTATAATTGGTTAATATAAATTTTAATTCTGTTTCCCACAAAGTGAATTGTTCGATTATTGACGTCCGTATTACCGAGGCTCCATTGTATTTGTCCATGCAATATTTAAAATACGTACATGTGAACATGTTTTGTCTTTTATTTCTAGTACTGACACACGTTTTCAGTTAGTTCGCAACAGTGATTAAAATATTCGATATAAATATTTAAAATAATCTTTATGTATTCAAATAAAAATATTTTTTAAAAAACTTTCAATTTATTTTGTATATAAGATTTACTTATCCGGAAATAAAATTTAGTTATTGACGTAAATACAATGACAGATAAGTAAAGGATTTAATTTCTTTTGAAATCATGTTTTTTCTATTCACACCCATATTCCACTTTACAAAGAAATTCATACTCATGAAAATGAAAGTTATGAAAACATGATACTTATATCATATACTCATACTTACGTATTTATACATTGTATTCAAATTTAAGGGAGAAAGTAAAAGGACGAGTGGACAGAGAAAAAAGGGGTTAAGCTGTCTTTAATCCAAAAGTTTACCATTTTTCCTTCGAGAACACATACGTATGTATTCATACTTTGAAAGTAAATTCACGTTTTTCAATTACAGTGACACCTGGGTATAAAATAAATACTCATATTCTGTAACAGTAATGGAGTTATACAAATATTTGATTTTTACGTCCCGAGGAGGATACAATTAAAATCTTGTGCTGACAAAATCAAACGTTCGTTAATAAAGCAATCACAATGGATTTGTTTGTTTGGTGCTTGAGACCTGTAGCTTTTAACCGTCCCAAGCAACTTGAAAAGGGGGGCTTTAAGGAGCTGAATGAAGATTGTATCGCTCCGTCTATGAGGGTGTTTAGTTTGTCAACTTAAATGGTTATATACGGTGATAAGAACTGAACCTTAAACATAGTATAGATAAGCGATGTTCAAAAGCACAATACAACAATTGCCACAATAGCTATTTTCTGGACAGATGCTAAGGCGACCATACCGTGATAAGAATGTTTATAGTCTCATTTTAATGGATCCGTAAAAATTAATTGTTCAGGACAAATTATATTTCAAAGTAGGAAAAATGACCTCACAGCAAAGAAAGAAGAGAGACAAGAATGTTAAACCAATCAAAGAAGATGCTTTTCTCCAGAAGTACAACATGGAATTGCTCAAGTGCATTGACGACATGAAAATGAAGAGGGATGAAGTTAACAGGAGTATTTTAACTCTCTCTGATGAACAACAGAAACTGGAGAGCGATGTTCTTCATCTTACCGCTCAACTTGCCCGAGTGAATGAGAGTCTGTGTAAGAAAATGAAGCAGCAGGGGGAATGTGACGAACTGATATCGGAGTACAACGAAGCCTTTCACAGACTTCTTTACGGACAGCAGACGTTACTAGCTAACGTCAGAAGATCGGTGAACACAGTCGCTCCAAGCGTGATTCTGGAGGAGAGTGAGGCGGCATCCCTGTCCTCGCGCCAAGCCGCACGCTCCTCAAAGATGAGTTTTAGCACGCGCGGAGACACAAGAGCAGACGGACGTAAGGACTCGCGGCGAGATTCTCGGACCGATGTAAGCCATCAAGAATCTAGAGCAGAGTCCACGATACAGTGAAGGGTGAACAAATTTCAAAGTACATTACACGAATGAAGTGATTTTAATTAGATTGATTTCAGAAAAGTAATTGTGTACGACGAGAGGAAACGAGAATGTTCCGACATTACTATGTAGGTCATTTCGAGTTCTCATTTTCAGAGCTATTGGATCGTTGATGGATTATACATGTATCGTATATAAATATATGTCAAATGATAAATCTAAATATGTCAAGAGAAAGGTGGCTCCACCTTTTTAAATGCATTCTTGTTGTTGACTTTTGTCAATATTTAAACGTATTGTCTGGAATTACTAGTGAAGACAAACGAAACAAATGGATATTATTTATTATTTGGTCAATTGGTCAAAATAAAATATTCACGCGGTAACAAAATCGTTCCACGTGTAATTGGGAAATATCCATCCATTTTGTTAACGACTTCTTATTCTTTTTTGTTTTAATTTCATTCACATAAATGTATATACTACAGACACGAGAAAATATAAATATATTCATTTAGGAGACGGGGGTGGGGTGGGGGTTATATACAACCATAAAAAGTCCATACATGTCCTGTTCATCTTAGAACTATTGACTAAAATGGTGAAACTTCTGAGCCGAATAAGGACGAAGAACTTTCAGTTTGTATGTTGATTTTTATACCCCTTCTGTTATATGTGAGGTAATACAATGTTTCGTTCATCAGTGCTTTATTGTGTCGTGATTTGGCATGTTTGGGAGTTAGTTCAGTCTTATTAACTGTTGCCCAACTGTTTTTCAGATTTTAACAGAATTTTTTTTACATATCCTATTACTTTGATTCCGTAATTGTGGTCCTACCCTAATCCTTTGTTTTCTATATACTGCCATGTTAAAAACGTGAGTCCCTATTCAAGCTATTGCCTTCTGCGATTTTTTGCTGCCGCCATCTTGTTCGTCCAATCCGGCACATGTTCACAACAGTGCTATTGTGATCCACTCTTTCCCCGCGACCGCGAGTTGAACAAACGTGAATATTCACTGCCTGGTGATGGTTGTTACTAATATGACTAATTGTAGCTTTACTATTATTGAGGAGATTTTTAAAAGAATTTCCCCATATGTTCCATTGTAAAACTTGAACCCCTTTTGTGTTCAGGTCGTAGCCCAGGGGTTCATGAATTGAACAAACTTGAATTTGTACTACACTACATACATGTAAAGTTCACATAATGTTTCTTCTGTACCAGTGGTTTTTGAGAAGAAGATTTTCCCTTAAATACTGTCATTTAATCTCTGGCCTCCTGTTTAGGTCCACCCCTGTCTGTGGCCCATGTTTTGAAGAAACTTGAATTTTCACTACCTGGGGATGTTTTTTTTAAACGATGTATCTTTTAAGAAGATTTTTTAGAGTTTTTTCCTTATATCTTCCAATTCAAAACTTTGACCCATCATGTGACTCCACCCTAGCCCTGGGAACTATGAATTCAACAAACTTGAATCTACACTATATAAGGAAGCTTTCATGTACCGGTATCTTTTTCTGGATCAGTGAAATTTTAAAATTTCCAGATAAAAATTTGTCCCCCATCTGTGGCACAATCCTAGCCCATGGGCTATATTTAAAAAAAAACTACACCGGGGGGGGGGGGTTATCATGAAATTCACAACTTTTGTTCCCCTTCATCCGTACAATGTAGATGTTATATGCAAAATTTGATTGAAATTGGTTTAGCGGTTTTCAGGGAAGAAGCTGAAAAAGTTTACAACCGACACACAACAACGGATAGCAATAGGTCACCCAAGTGACCAAAAAAAAGTAGTATTCAATTATCAGAATAGCGTAAACTAAGATATTTTATCAGAAACGATGGACGTTGGTGCAAGTTTACGTTTAGAAAGTGAAAGATAAAGACAAAGATCTGCGCATATACATGTATTGCGACGTTCTAATGTAAAACATTAAGGTCATTATGTTTCGCATTGCACAGGTGTTATGTACAAAAGTTATAAATCAGACACGAAATATAGCCTTAATTTGAAATCATTAAATCTCCATTAGACCTAATAAATATTCAGAGTCATGTTCACCTGTCGTGGGCCCACAGCTGTAGGATATCATCGAACACTGTGATTTATCAGACTATATATGTATGAGGATAAGTATAGTAGGGGGCAGAGGGTACTTAAGGAGAAGAAAACATTGGGTTTAAAGCAAAAGGTTAAGAGAGAATCCAACAGTGAACTATCGGAAGAAATACAACCCGTTTTCTCAGTCCATCTCAATACTCATATCAGGAGATAAATATATCCCCCTTTCTCAACTTACATTGCAAAGTCTATAAGTTAAAATAACTTTTCATTTGTTGAACATGCTTTTAAAAGAATTGATGTATTTCAATAACAGAGGTTTTAGTAAATGTGTACATGCACATGTACTGCATGCAAACAGTCTCTTTGTTCTATACCCTCTGAAGCGTTGATCAGCCAAGGAGAGGCCGGACATATTTAACTAAATTTTCACTATGCATTCAGACTGTACACTTAATTCTCAAACTCTCTTTGTATTTCAAATTTTGTTTCCAGCAGACATATATATTTCATGAATAAACACACATAAACAGGCAAAAAGTACTAGGTTGTTATTTAATTACTATGAATTTCATTGATTTAGTTAAAACAAGAGGTCCACGGGCCTTATAGGTCACATGAGTATCATGTAACACCTTTCCAAAAATTGAACTTGGTTCGTGTTTTAAACCAGAGGCTATGAAATTCACAATTTTGAAAGAGACACCATTGTTCATCATACCTATACAGTTAGCATGCTTACTTTGATTACTTAATACCCAGAGGCAGAGCAGAGGAACAGAAAAATGGATTTCCACTATATAATCAGTAGTGCCCCACCCCACAGGAACCCCTCAACCTGGGGCCACACATTTCACAATTTCAGAAAAGGCACCCTTGCTCATCATAAATGTTTGATTAAAGGGGATGGGACACAGATTTGAAGAGCATATTTTCTAAAATTTAAATAATAATATCATGATTTATATGTTGCTAGAGCATTTCACACCGAAATATATTAAAATCATGTTTAGAAACTCTTTTTATTGGGAAAGTATTAAAACTACAAATTTCAGTATGTATTTGATTGACACATATCCTTGAACTTTCACAAAGGAAACTTTATCCACAATACTTAAGAAAAGAAGAAATTCTGTTGTGTATTAATGAAAAATATAAAAACTATAATCCAGGAAGTTCAGAGTAGATATGTGAGAAAGCAAATCCAACTCACCAGTGTTGTCAGTCCGTGCTCCGTGATGTGTGCAGACTAAACAAACTGAACACATCCAGTAAAACGTAAACACTAACAATAACAGAGCTTGTGCCCTGTTTACAAACACAGGTGTTTGATGTGATGTTATGAAGAATGTCACCGTCATTCAATTCTAAGAATATTCACGTAAGATCAATTCATTAAAAATATATTTTTGAATAAACATAGAAATTTAAAATATAAACTATGCAGCTGTGTCCAAGCCCTTTTAATACCAAAGAGCAGATTTCAAAGCATTTATTCATTTTCAGTATATAATCATTAAAGCTCAACCCCCAAACCCCCAACCACGTGGTACCCCTGACCCAGGGGCCATGAAATTTACAATTTTGGAAGAGGCACCCTTCCTCATCATAACTATGTACATGTACATAATTCATTTATTTAATACCCAGGAGAAGAGGAGAAGAATTTTAAGAATTAATGCATTTTCACTATATAATCAATAGAGCCCTGCCCTAACACCAAAACACCTGACCCAAAGGCCATGAAATTCAAAATTTTGGAAGAGGCACTCTAACTTTCTACATAGTTCATCAGCTTAATACCCAGGAGCAGAGGAGAATATTTTCAAAGAATGCATTATCACTATATAATCAATAGAGGCCCCCCCCCCCCCAACACCAGAACTCCTGACCCAAGGGTCTTGAAATTCACAATTCTGGAAGAAGCACTCTTCCTCACCATAACTATGTACTTAGATCATCGGCATAATACCCAGGAGCAGAGGAAAAGATTTTCAAAGAATTATGCATTTTCACTATATAATCAATAGTGCCCCGCCCTAACACCAGAACCCATGACCCGAAGACCATGAAATTCACAATATTGAAAAAGACATCCTTTCTGATTATAACTATGTAATAGTTCATTGGTTTGATACCTAGGAGCATAGAAGAAGATTTTCAAAGAATTAATGCATTTTCACTATATAATCAATAGAGCTCCGCCCTAACACCAGAATCCCTGACCCAGGGGCCATGAAATTTACAATTTTGGAAGAGGCACCCTTCCTCATCATCACTGTGTACATAGACCATCGGCTTAATACTCTGGAGCAGAGGAGAAGATTTTTTAAGAAATAATGCATTTTCACTATATAATCAATAGAGCTCCGTCCTAACACCAGAACCCCTGACCCAGGGGCCATGAAATTCACAATTTTGGAAGAGGCACCCTTCCTCATCATAACTGTGTACATAGATCATCGGCTTAATACTCAGGAGCAGAGGAGAAGATTTTTTAAGAAATAATGCATTTTCACTATATATTCAACAGAGCCCCACCCTAGCACCAGAACCCCTGACCCTGGGGCCATGAGTATCACAATTTTGGTAGAGGGTTCAATGCTTATTACAATCATGCCAACAGTTTGACTGCTTGATGTCCAGGAGTAAAGAAGAAGATTTTTAAAGATTGCATTTATTTTAGTGGTTTTTGCCCCACCCCTCAGGCCCCTGGGGGGCAGGGGCTATGAATTTCACAATTTTTGTTCCACTTTACCCATAGATGCTATATGCAAAAATTGGTTGAAATTGGTTGAGCGGTTTCAGAGAAGAAGCTGAAAATGTTCAAATGTTGACGGACGACGGACGACGCACGCCGACGGACTAAAACAGATAGCAATAGGTCACCTGAGTAAACTCAGGTGACCTAAAAACATATTTAGATCATATGGGTATCTTAATTTAATTAGAACAGATTTTTAATTATTTTCTGGTAATTTTCATAAACAAATGGCCTAAAATTCATTCTTTTTGAATATAGGCGAAATGCTATGTTTCGGGGTCAATTATTATGGTACATGTAGGTCCTATTTTTTTGCCAAGCTTGTTATTTTAGTATTTTTCTTAACCTATGTTGGGAGTTTCAAGATATAATAGGGATATAAAAACAATGATATATCTTGGGAGATATTTTACTCTGAATTTACATTAGGCAGCCTTTATTTTCAATGTAAAGTTTTGATTCAGCGTTAACTTTAATTTTTAGAAATTCTCAGGACGA